TTTAAGACAGGAAAAAAATCTGTCAAATAGTATTTTTGTAAAATTATTCACCATTTTTCAGTAATTATTATATACTTATTTGTTCTTTCTATCTATAAAACAATGTGATTTGACTCATTCTATGCAGTTTCTGTTTGACTCTTCACCATCATTCTGTTCAGTACATCATGTTCTTATAATTTGCTGTTTTGAATACTGTAAAAAAAAAAATTATTTTACTCGTCATTATCTGTAATTTCACAAAACAGGGAAAAATCAGTAAATTAATTGTAAACTTTTTTGACAAAAAAAACCCAAAACAAAGACATTGAAAGCTGTTTCTGTTTGCCTGCGTTGCGGGGCTGATGAGGATTTCATCACTGCAGGGGGTTAAACTTCCAGCAACGCGTCCAGCAGCACAAAGCGGACGAGGCATGTAAATATGAACTCGGTCAGCGAGAGATTCATGCAAACGAGCAGCCGGAGGACCGGCGGAGCTGAAACTGGGCGTGGACTCACCGAGCCAACAAAAGGAGTTTCCCACAGACTTCCCTGTTTGCTGTCCTACTGGGACAAGACCAACCAGTTTGTTTCTCTGTCGCTCCTCCTGAATGATTCATGAACGTGTCCGACCCTCCACCTGGACGACTCCATCACCTGGACGTCCTCCCTCCACACGGGCAGGAGTCTCTAATCAGTAGAGTCATTTAACATCATCCAGAAACCGTTACGTCTGATGCAGGCTGACGAGTTCTTAACCCGACACGAGCAGCGTTCATCTCCTCAGGGCTTTAAAACCCGAACACAACGAGCTACATGTCAAACATGCTGCAGAACATGAATATATATGTTCAGTGTTGTTGCTTCCACCTCCTGAGTGTCTCGTATCAACTCACTTCAACAGAGTCTGGAAATAGTTCACATTTTTCTGCACCTTCTTCCTTCATATTGAGCCTGTGTTCATACAGCTACATGTTTCTGCACTTTTTCCTTATAAACTGCTCACGTCTTTATACGACTGCAGCTTGTAAATATTCACATTTTGCACGTCTATAAGTCATTATATCTTCATAAATGCTCCGACACATCAGTTAATCAACTGGTTTTCTGCTACAATAAGCTGATTTGGGA